GTAGTGGATTACAAGCTGTACTGCTAACCATTAGGTCAGCAGTTCGGATCTACCAGCCACTTCGCAAGAGGAAGAAGAGGCTTTCTACTCCCATAAAGATTTACAGCCTCAGAAATTCTATACAGGGTGCTATGAGTTGAAAATGACTTGTTGGTACCACCACCACCAATGGGTAGAAATGATAGACTAAGCTCTCCATTAACGTATCACGGAAATCACTGCCAAAAAGTAGAACATTTGCTATTAGTAGCCAAAGTTTTGAGATTATGAAAGGATCATAAATGTCACTACTTAGACTGTTACAAACACGTTTAAATTAAGAATGTACTTGATGCATAGAAAGGTAAAATCCCCACTGAAAAGTTGTCATCTTATCTAGATGGGCCAGGTGAAAGGAGACAGGGTGGTTTCTTTTGATTCAATAATAAATGTTATCTTGCTAATTGTGATTGTAACAACTGTAAAAGTAGAAGTTGTGTAACATAAAGGAGGGAGTAGTTAATCTTACATTCCAGGAACAGAAGATCCTAGGACTATCAAGAGAGAAGAGCATGAGTGGAACATGGGACCCTAACCAGCGAAGCAGAAACACCAGAGATGGAGGCAGAGGTGAAGGTATGGAGAGAGAGAGTAGCTGAGGATTCTAGACTCATGGAAAGAGCAAGGCAGTGTGCTAGTGGGCAACAGGCTGGCTTGCAAAATAATGCCCTTTGGTTGTTTAAACGATTATATAGCCCTGAGTGTTTCTGTGTACATCAGAAAAAAAGGAGGGAGGGGAGAGGCAAATGGTGTATGGAGAGGATTGTAATCATTGCATTGAAACAAAATACAATCAGTTGAGTGCAATTCTTCAAAGGTAGCAAGGGTTGTCCGATGTTCTCCCATATAAACTACCGTCACTCAAATAAAAGCATTAAAAAAAAAAAATTGTTATTTTACTCAATGGGCCAAAAATGCCCCCACCCATATCAAAGATATATAACCCACTACTGAGTCAATTCTGACTCACAGCAACCCCACAGGACAAAGTAGATCTGCTCCCAAAGTGTTTGCAAGACTATTAATCTTTATGGGAGCAGACAGGCTCATCATTCTCTATGGAACAGCTGGTGAGTTTGAATCACTAGTCTCTGGTTAGCAGCCCAGTGCTTAACCACTGCACCACTGGCTCCTTAAAGGATATGGCAGGCTTAACATCCACTAGAATTTCATGATACGTAGTTTCCTTTTCCTCCCCTTCTCCCTGTTGCTGGTAACCATCTTTCAATGTAAAGGTGGGTTTTCTGTTTTGTTTTGTTTTACTTTTTACAATAGTGGTCTCATACAATAGTTGTCCTTTGTGAGTGAATTACT